CTGCTGAACGATAGGATAGTGGGAGTATTGGAGAAGGAACATAGCATTGTGGTGAGGGCCAGGCAGGTTTCCGAAAAAAGAGGGGGCGGGTAGACCACGTATTCACCGTAGGGAGAATCATCATAGCATTAGTGAGGGCCAGGCAGGTTTCCGAAAGAAGAGGGGGTGCGTAGACCACGTATTCACGGTAGGGAGAATCATCCAAGGTAGAAAGAGGGCGGGAAAGCCGACGTACTGCTTCTTCCTCGACGTGAAAAAGGCATACGACACCGTATGGAGAAATGGACTGTGAAAACAAGTGTCCAAATACGGGATCAAAGGTAAAATGTGGAGAGTGCTGAAGAAGATGACAGAGTGTACGAAAAGCGCGGTCATGCTAGACGGAGAACTGTCAAAATTCTTCGACATTGAGCAGGGGGTCCCACAAGGTTGCACGCTGTCCCCAACATTGTTCCAGGTGTTCATCAATGATCCGTTGGAAGTCGTAGAGGCAGTCCAGAAGGGAATAAAAGTAGGGGACACGGAAACGTCGGTTTCAGGAATGCTGTTTGCGGATGATTTTGTCGGTATGTCGGACACCCCTGAGGGACTGCAACTGCAAATTGACGCGGCGAAGAAGTTTACTGATAAGTGGAGATTGTCTGCCAACGTTCAGAAGAGTGCCGTCATGGTTTGCAACGAGAACAAGGAGGAACCAGTAGAACATAGATGGAAGTGGGGGATCGAGGAGATTGCAGTAGTGGACCAGTACACATACCTCGGAGTAGAGATCGCAAAAGACTGCTCGTGGAATGCACACATGTCCAAGGTAGCGGAAAAGGGCAAAGCACGAGCAGGGAAGCTGCACCCAATACTCGCAAACCGGCACCTCGATACACGCATCAAATTGACGGTTTTGAAGAGCGTAATCGTACCGCCGCTAGAGTACGCCGGAGAAGTATGGGAAGGAAATAAGAAGGTAGTGAAAGAACTCGAGGCGGCGCAGATGAAAGCAGCGAAAATCATCCTAGGATGCTCCAGGCGCACAAGTAATGCAGCCGTGAGGGCAGAATTGGGGATCCAATCCCTACGGTCGGGAAGAGACGCGAGGAAGCTGACATGGCAGTATCGCATGTGCGGGATGGGAGAGGAGAGGGTGCCGAGAATTGTATGGGAGGCGAAGTGGGCAAACAAAAACAGGGACAGACAACCCACGGAACGGGTCAAGGTTGTAGAGGACGTATGTAAGGGGCTCGACATCGACGAAGATGAAACGCTGGAAACGGAGGGTCTACAGGGGTTCAAGGAGAAGATATATCTGTTGCTTGTGACGAGAGAGAACAGAATCTAAGGAAAAAATGCAAGGATAAGGAGGGTCCAGAAGCGTACGGAATGTTGAAAGAAGGAACAGGGTTCAAGGATTGTACCTACATGGACCAATGGTTGCAGGAACAAAGCTTCAATTCAAATTCAGGACCGGGGACATAGGCCTTCGAGAACGTCGACGAA